ATTTCCATCCGTCGTCGCACAGAAAGAAAAAGAAGAATATTATTTTTGCTTCTATAATTTGATTAGTAAATGGGAATATGTTCGTATGGGTTTTCCTTGATACATAAATCAAGACGAAGCTATCCTCTCTTTTTTTTTGTACAGTCGCTTTTTTTCTCCTTTTTCTTCTCTTTTTCTTTATACTCGTTAGAAACTTGTCAATATATCAGCGCCGTTATCGTTCTCTCACATAACCACAATTGGACAAAATAATATCTGAAATACCGAAGAGAGAACAAATAACATATCTAACCATTAACGTTAATAATAAACGATGGCTACTCTTCATATTTTAACATTACTTGTTTTAGCAGTTATCTATTCAACAGTTACTGCTCAAAATAAACCTTGTGGAGCATGTGATCAATCTAAATGTCCAATGGTACTATCTTTTGCTTATTTTTATATATTTTTTTCCTACAATATATTATTTGTAGACCTCGGATAAAGAGTGTCTTGCTGGATTGACACTCGATAGATGTGGTTGTTGTCAAGTTTGTGCTCAACGTGAAGTTTGTAGACTATTGATATACATATATATAGTCTATGTTTATATTCTGTTTGTTGATAGAGTGAATTATGCAGTCATCCTGATGTTCCATCAAGCAAACAATATGAAGCATGTGGTGAAAATCTTCAATGCAAGTATGTATAGAAAAAAATATGATTGAACCTGTTTTTTTGTATTATATTTTTTCTTGTAATATTTAGAATTCGTAAGGATAATCGTGGAGTACCACATGAAGCACGATGTGAATGTAATGATCAAGTAGAAATGTGTGGGTAGGTTAAACAAAAAAGAAAAAAAAAGAAAGACATGATTTATTTTTAAAACATCATTAATAATATAATTATATAGTTCTGATGGAAAAACCTATCGTAATTATTGTCATTTAATGGAATCAAGTAAACTCGCCAAGGCTGAACAAAAACCAGTTATTAAAGTATTCAAACGTAAACCATGTGACTCAGGTAGAATACAATATTTATATGAAAGATTTTCCATCAATATATATATTTATAGCACCAGAAATCACTTTACCACCTGTAAGCGTATCAAATAAAACAGGTAGCAATGTATTTTTAACCTGTGAAGTTGCTGGTGTACCATTACCAGTTGTTGAATGGGTTTATAAATCATCAACAGGAAAACAAATTGTTTATCCAAGTAAGTTTTCTATTTTAGTCTATAAAAATACTCTATATATATATATCGATATGTTTATATAGCTGATGATGATCGTATATCAACATTAGTTCGTGGTGGACCAAACGCACATGTTTTAACATCATGGCTTCAAATTCAATCATTACAACCAAATGATCAAGGTACATATACATGTGTTGCCAGTAATTCATTAGGCAAAACTGAAAAATCATGTACCGTTTCCGTTGAAGGTAAATGAAAACAATGATAATTTTCTTATATATATATCTCATTTTTTTCACATTAATTTTAGTCGCTCGCGAATTTTAAATGAAAACAATATTATTCATATTTATCTTATACACTCATTTGACAACCATTTATATCTGTTTGCAGTTGTTAAAGACTTTTTCTTTTATTTTTTATGTCATTCAATGTGTGTTAAAGTAGAATTTCTAGATTTCTTTTTTTTGGATTAATCTTTTCTTTTTTTTATTAACATATATACATCATTTATCGAATTTTGAAATAGTTTTTAATCAAGGAAATATATTAAGATAATATTTAATTAAAATAAAAAATATTTTATAAGGAATACAAAATATTAGTATCGTTTCTTTAGAGTTACTTCTGCCTTTTCTTTATTGCTCATCGAACGTCGAGGATACTATCTAAATTTATTCTTATAACTATTTCTTTTGGGAATGCAGATAACATTTTTCCCTTTAGAATAGCGTAAGTCATTTGTCTTAAAAAATGATTTGCAAGAAGTTACCAGGGCTTTCAAACCTCCTGATTTAGCCAGAAGTCTCCTGTTTTTTTGACCCTTTTCCTGGTTAAAAAATCTCCTGGTACCAGGAGCTGAATTTTAAAGTTTTCTCCTGGTTTCTGAATTTTCTTTTAATTCTAACTTTTAGCGATACCTTTAATCCATAACATGAGATAATCGAAAGAGAGAAAAGAAAGCGAAGAACAGGAATATCACATTATTTGATAAATGCAATAACCAATAAAAAAAACATGTTAATCTTGTTCTTAATTATGTAATAAAACTAAAAAATAATTTAATTCTTGCAAATGATTTATACTGCAAAAACTTATATATTGTAGATAAAAGGAGAGAATACCTTAAACATTCCTCAAAATGTGTCCTTGCGAAGATGCTGAAATCATTGAAATAACGAATTCATCGAAAGAAAATGTCATGCCGTAAGCTGAATCTAGTCCATTAAAAATAATTTTACACTTTGTGCTTTATTTCGAAATAAACGATGAAATGAGACATACTTATTATTCTTTTTTCATATATTGTATTACATAGAAAAATGTGCCACAATAACTTATTAGGAGAAAACTTTCACCTTTTGTATAGAAGAATAATTCAATTTCTTTCAAAAAACAAACAAAACTTTTTTAATGTTAATTAAAAATCTCCTGGTTTATTCTCCTGGTTTCAAACAAGGATCTCCTGGTCAGTCCCTGTTTTTTTTCGATGAACTCCTGGTTTTCTAAATTTAGATTTGGTAGCCCTGTTAGCTACAATCTCTCAAGTTGTTTTAATCGACAAAAATAATATTCTTTTGCATAAAAAGTCTTCATTAAATCTTTTTTTCCAAAGTAATCTATACAAGGAACATCCGATTCTCAACCATTCAAATCTTATTACCGAACATTATTAATCCTCAATGAACCAATTTGAGGTGTTGTATGAACCAGAATTGGTGTACCTAGAGCTTCTTGTACCTATTATATATATATAATATAGTATATGATTTTATTCGAACAATGAACTTACATTAATATTCGCTAAACATAATTTTGATGCTTCTTTATAGATTCCATTAGGTGTTTCTCTTGAATAGAGTTCATGTAAAATTAAATAACATACTCCACCTAATGCAACAACTCCTGCTACAATAACAAGTGAATAAACACAATCTTTAACTGCTTGTTGAGCTATAAAAAGAAAACAAATAATCAGAAGAAAATTAGATGTATTTCTTTATACCTTTATGAGTAAATGCAGTAATATCAATTTGATTATTTTGAGATTGAACAAGAATATTATTTCCTTGTTGTTTAGAATCTTTTTTATAATCATTAGTCGTTGATAATTGTCGTTGATTAATAGTACTAATTCTACGAAATAATAATGAACGCCATTGATTATGGCATTGTTTAATAACGAGATGAAATGAAGGAAATATCATCTCTTGAAGAAAAAAATTTCGTTTTTGATTATTTTATTTTGAAAGAAGAAAAAAAAGATTAAAGATTAGTTTTATTCAAAAGTTTTCCTTAGCTTATTATAATAGAATCAGATCGTGTACAGAAAAA